GTGATTTCTTTATATTTGGCTTGAAAATCACAAGTGGCTATCGTTAGAGCATTCCAGCATTTTAATGTGAAAAAATCTTTTGTGTCTCGTTCCATCGCTCGTTTCCGTGATACTGGCAACGTAGCCCGACGTCGAGGATGTGGACGGAAGAAAACAGCAACATCATCAGAAGTGGAAACCCGCGTCGTAGTGGCCGAAAAATGGTTCGTGAACATATCGCAATATTCCATTCGGCATTAACTCGGGGTAAAGCCATTGAAATTCAAAAAAGTGCAAGAACTTACACCGCAACAGAACGAAAATATACTCAAAAGAGCTAAAGAGTTGCTTCGCTTGGCCGAAAGTGGTAAACTGCCGAATTTGGGTTTCTCCGATGAGAAAACATTCGTTGTCCAGCAGTTTGTAAACAAACAAAATGATCGTGTTTACTTGACAAAGAGGTCTGCTGAAAATGTGTACTTTCGGTTGACCACCAGAACTCAAGCGCCGGCTATGAGGATGGTGTGGGCCGCCATAATAGCCGATGGTCGCTCTCCGCTCGTATTAATCGACCGTGGCATCAGAATAAATGCCGAATATTATCGCGAAAATATTCTGGAGGGCCGCAGGCCTTGGACATTCCAACAGGACTCAGCACCATCGCACATAGCATGCGCCAGGCAAAAAAATAAATTTTCAAAATGGGGCGCACAATGTGTCTGGAGTATTTCGGAAAGCAAGGTTGACACTAAAAAATACTAAATTTTCGATTACCTCAAGCAAGCGCTTCGCCGGGAATGGGCCAAAATACCGCAGAGATATATTTGGGCAGCGCGTTATGGTTTCATTGGCGGTTTTTTTACTTGGCCAATTTGAAAAGTTGAAATACGATGTAAAATGCCGTGAAAACTGAAATTTTAATTTTCTCTTCATATGATTTTGCTCAGATCTGACCCAGTAAAATGGAACTCCATATTTAGGTGTATTTTTTTTCATTTTCAATTCAATTTCAGTGTACAATGCTTTTCAACATTGCCTGTTCTGAAACATAAATATTATTTGGTAAACGAACACTCCTATTATTTGTGTTCAAAAGGTTGGCAACTCGGATTGTAAACAAAATATAAATGGGCATTTAAACTCTTAAAACTCAACCGCTCTCCTGCATTGTAATCCACGTCTTCATTTCGAATACACAAACGCATTCATTCTTTGTTTACATTATGACTAAAGTTCTTCAGCATTTTGCAACAACACAAATTAATTCCATTGGTGCACCAAAGATGCTTCAACTGTTAAAGAATTGTTTTATTTTTCGTTTTGTTTTGATGTGTCTCTCTTCTGGCGAACAGTTCTCTAAACACAAAACAGATATTCCATTCACATGTTTCAGCGTCCAGATCTTTATGTGTACACATATGGACACTCATATGTATGTACAATGGTAGGTACATGTCTGTGCATGGGTCAGCATTTACCAATTTTGTTTTGTTCCAAAAACATTTGTGGTTTTTGTATAGACAGAAAATTCCAATAGGCCAGTTCTCTGTCTTGCTGACCACAAATTACAGTCATAGTAGTGGGCAAAAATGTAGCACAATTGATGGCACTTCAATGGTGTTGTTTTCAAATTACAAGCTACAATTTTTATACCCTCCACCTTGGAAAGGAGGGTATATTAACTTTGTCATTCCGTTTGTAACATGTCTAAATATTCGTCCTAGACCCTATAATGTATATATATTCATAATCAGCAAAAAATTCTAAATCGATTTAACGATGTCCGTCTGTCTGTCTGTTGAAATCACGATACAGGTCACATTATTTGGCGTAGAACGTCAAAATTTAGCAGAATAATTCGTATTGTGTCTAGGATGGTTAGTATTGAAAATGACGTATATCAGTCCTCCCGATATTCGGTATTTTGATGATTTTTGCCGCATTTTTTCATGGACTTGTCTAAAAATTGCTATTTGTTGATCATATTGGGTTCTAGCTCCGGTTTGGAAAAATTGCATGTATAGGTCCACGTTTTGGTATAGCCTCCCGATATTCGGTATTTTGATGATTTTTGCCACATATTTTTATGGATTTTTCTAAAAATTGGACTTTTTTTGGTCATAATGGGTTCTAGCTCCGGTGGCGAAACATGGAATGTATAAGTCCACGTTTTGGTACGGCCCCCATATAGCGGTACCTCCCAATATTCAGTATTTTGATGATTTTTGCCACATTTTTTCACGGATTTGTCTGAGAATTGGTATTTGTAAGTCATAATGGGTGTGACGAAACATTGTATGTATAGGTTTACGCTTTGGTATAGCCCCCATATAACGGTATCTCCCGATATTTGGTATTTTGATGGTTTTATTTACATTCGAAATTTTGTATACTTTTTGCAATAATAAATAAAGTTTTAATTATTTTTGGTTAAATTTCATAAATTTGGAGTTTTATTAAAATAATGCTTTTTTGCCAGTAGTCGGCACCACTTGCCAATTGGCGGTATGACGTGTCCCAACAGTGGGCATACCGATTTTTTTTTTTTTTGTAAGAATAATTAATAATAATAAAAAAAATAATTCATTATTAAAATATTATATTTTTGTTTAGTTAAACCGATTCGACGTCTTTATTGTACTTTTCTTAAGAATATGGATTGTCCCGTTCATGCTGAGGACCTTCTCAGACAAAAAATTAATTGTTTTTTTAAATAAATCATCGTTTCTTAGCGAAATTTTACACAAAGATAGTTGGCATTATATTCGAAGCAAACATTAATTTCTGTTTACGATTCCGATCTTCAAATACAATTTGAAACAATTCAGGTGGATAATGTTGTTAATATTATTATTAGTATTATATGTGGGCTATACGAAGACGCAGATTTGCATAGACAATATTCTGTCATAGGTTGTAGTACGCACCATGAACTTCAATAACGAAATTTTAAACAATTCCGGTGAATAATGTCGCTAATATCATCAAAATAACAAATATCGTGAGGTATCGTTATAATGGGGCTATGCGAAAACGTGGGCCTGCATAAGTAATATTTTGTCATAGGTTGAAGTACCCATTAAGATCTTCCAGTACGAAATATAGCACAATTCCGATAAATAGTGAGGCTAATATCATCAAAATACCGAATATCGGGAAGTGCCGTTGTATGGGGGCTATACGAAAACGTTAACCGACATGGCCCTTTTACGAACTTAACCTGCCTACTGGCAAACAAAATTTTAGCCTTCTACCTCAATTCGTTCGACAGACGAACATCGACTTAGAATTTTACGCTGATCAAGAATATATACACTCTGTCGTGTTTGACATGAGTATATTAAGGAGTTATAAATGGAACGACAAAGTTAATATACCCTCCATAGTATGGTGGGGGTGAGGATATAAAAATCGAAAAAATTGAAGTAAAAATAATTTTGTCAAATTATATTGAAATGTGTTCAGATTTGGGTATAACGCTCTCATATACATTTTCACCAAACACGATATGTATATCCGATTACAATGAAATTCGGAATGAGTGACGAAATTTGGTACAAAAATAAATTTATAAAATTATACTAAAATAGGTTCAGATTTGAATATAGCTCCCATATATATTTAAGACCGATTTCACATATTTGATACATAAAACACGATATATGTGCCCGATCCCAATGAAATTCGGAATGAGTGACGGAATTTGGCACATTAAAAAATTTTGCATATTATATTGAAATCGGATGAGATTTATGAAATTAGCCCATATTTCGGCTAATTTCATATATTTTATGCACCAAACACGATATGTATGACCGATTCCAATGAAGTTTGGAATAAGCGATAAAATTTAGTACACAAAACAAAAATATACAAATTATATTGAAATTGGTTGAGGTTCAAACACGATATGTATGTCCGATTTCAATGAAATTATTTTGAAACCATTGATACCCAAAATGCGCTATGTATCAATGAAATATAGAAGGTGTGACGAAATTTGGTCTTAAAATAATTTTTGAAATCGGTTCAGATTCGGATATGATTTTATTAAGAAACATTGACCCACAACGCCTTTTTATTGGTTTTAGACTAACAATAAAATACTACAGTGCAATTTTATTGAGGATACGATAATTACGGAGAAGTATGTTGCTACCTCGAATTCTCTAATTGTAGCAGAAATGCCATTTAACTTCAAAAGATTGCACGATTGGAATTTGCTATGAAGATAATGAATTCAATGGACAAACCGTATGCGTTTTTGTTAAATTCTTGAATTTGTTTTATTTTTTTTTTTTCAAATCACAAAAAATTCGTATATAAAATTTTGAATGCATATAAAATCGAAAGCGAAGCGCACCGGATTCAGCTAGCTTACTGTAAAGGTCCAGGTTTTTATAAAAACCTCATATAACAATTTGGTAAATTTTTAACTATTTGTTTTTTTTTTTTTAAATCTTGTACTACAAGTTCTTAATAGCAGAAGTTATATGTATCGCTCGACTTCTGGACCTTATTTTTTTACTTCTTTAGAAGTTACAGAATTTTGACTACGAAACGAAATAAATCATTCTGGACCATTTTACGACGTTGCAAACAGTGCACAAACGATTGTGTTTATATACCAAATCTGACTTTTACTCAATTTCCAAATGTTGCTATTGTTTTCATCATGGCTGTCATTCGTTTCGCTTAAATTCATTTGGTTTGCTTTGTTGTCTGCTTGGAAGTAGACCGCCAAAGGAAAGAAACTCCACAAAGATTGTATTGTTGTGGTGTCTTTCGTTCGTTCGATCGATCAGTCTGTCGGTCGATTGTTTGTTTTTTCCCATGCAGATCTTGTGTTATGTTTTTGTCTTGTTTGGTTGTTGGGACTCTTGCTCTCCTCTCCAATTCAACAATTCTCACCACAAATAACGCTCTCGCTTTGTGGCTGTGTCAGCACATTTACTCTCCTCTGCTCTATCTCTGTGTGTATACAAACTTGTGTCTTTTCTTTACAGTTCAGTGATCTACGCGATGTTGCCCTAAGAGTACATAAAAGACGATAAAGAACAACAAACTCCGAGAAGTGCCCTTTTTATGAAAAATAAAAGAAAAAATGTTAAATTAAGAAATTAAAATAAGTGTTTTGTGTTTATTGTTCCTGTTTAATTGTGTTGGATATTTGTGAAAAGTGAAGCCTTCCTATTTTTGAAAATTTAATGTTGAAAAAAATAATATCTGTTATAAAATAGGTATTTTTTAAAATAAAAATCAAGAGATTAAAAAAAATTCTCACCATGAAAGATAATTTAAGAAAAAAATATTTAAAAGTGTTGGGTTTTCCCTTCCAAAATGTCTACCTCGAGAAGTGACCAAAAAAAGAAATACAAAATAAAACCATCCTTTTATTGTCTATCTTTACATTCTATTTTGAGTGTATAACAATTTTTGTACAAGAAGTATTCAAACTCTCTGCGTATATGGTTGCCACTATATTAAAAGTGGCTGAGTATGCTTTCGGCCCAATAACATTTTAAAATCTTTACAAAATCGAACTCGAAATTCGTACCTTCTGACTATATAGAGATTACATCAAACATTAGATCTACACAGACATTTTTTGCGCGGAAATATTTAACCTAATCGGAACCGGATAATATCAGCAGATTCCGTTGGACTTTGATTAGAAGCCTTCAAGAAACCTAATTAAGACCTGAAATGTCAAATTGCAGCTGCAAATTCAATAGGAATCCGTAATGGGAGCAAGAATTGACTTCCATTACGAACTTCAAATGACAAATTTGAAACAATTCCGGTGAAAAATGTCGCTAAAATCATTAAAATAGCGAATATCGGGAGGTGCCGTTATATGGGGGCTATACGAAGACCTGGGCCTGCACAGACAATTTTCTGTCTTAGGCTGTAGTTTCCATTACTAACTTCTAATGCCAAATTTGAAACAAATCCGGTGAAAAATGTCGCTAAAATTAATAAAATACCGAATATCGTGATGTACCGTTATATGGGGGCTATACGAAGACGTGGGCCTGCACAGGCTTAGGCTGTAGTATCCATTACGAACTTCAAATACCAAATTTGAAACAATTCCGGTGAAAAATGTCGCTAAAATTATTAAAATACCGAATATCGGATGGCACCGTTATAGCGGGGCTATACCAAAACGTGGACCTACATAGCCCATTTTCAATACCAAAAATCCTGCAGACATAACATACATTTGAGTAAAATTTTACCAATCTACTTCAATTCGTTCGGAAGCTAGATTGATTTCCACAGGCGGACAGACGGATAGACGGACGGACATCGCTAAATCGACATAGAATTTTATGCTGATCATCTAAAATGTGTATTTCGAGGTGTTACAAACGGAATGACAAACTTAATATACCCTCCTACCTACCCTATGGTGTAGGGTATAAAAGGTTTTCTTACTTTGTAAGAAATAACCCATTATACCCAACCTAACGGTAATGCAGGAGACAGATTGTTTACAATTCAATGTTTGTCTCATCCGCAAATAATTCAATTGGATATATATCGTCTGTGAAATACATAACATTAGACCTGCCTGATTTTCAACACATTTGTAATAATTGTGACTGGAAATCTGTGTATGTTAAGACAAAAGTTCAGCAATTTAAGAGAAGTTTAAAATTTTTCTTTAAGTTTGAAAATTAAGGAAACATGTCTTCTTTTGTTTGTTTTTGACAAATCTGACAAGCCGTATAGGTGTTGGCTGACTTGATTTCGTTGTTTTTTTTTTTTTTTGGTCTCTGCCAAACTTGGTCGGTTCAACAGATCAATTCAAAAAGTTTTAACCTACATGAGTGCTTTGGATCTAATAATAACCCTGGCAACCCTAAACACCCTCACAAAGAGGGGCAAACGGAGAGACTGAGCTTGTACCAACTTCAATGCTCTTTCGGTCACCGTTGTCTGCAAAGAAATACCACAGCTTACGAACCGGTTTCCTTATTGAGTTGTTCATTTCAATAAACAAAACAGAAAAAAGTAGCAAACATGGAAATGCTTTAAATACAAAAAAAGCCTACAAAAAAAAGAATATTTAAAAAATCAATAAACAAATTGGCAATAAATTATACCAATTATATTTTTTTAATGAAAATTCTTTTATTTTTTGTTTGCATGCACTTTTGTTGCAGTGATTAAAATCCATTAATAAAATATGCATTGGGCATAAAATTGCAATGAAATTGTCAATAAAAAAATATTAAACATAAAATATATACGTGCATTCATATGGGAGTGTGTTTGTGTATTTGTGAACTAATAACAGCAACAATAACAACGACAAGTAGGAGAAAAAATCTCATACACATACAAATCGAGTGGTCGTCGGTCGGTCGTCGGTCGGTCGTCGTCACAACAAAAATAAAATCAATTGAAAACCTATTATAATTGGGCACGTTTCCTCATGAAGTGCTGGGAAAACAAGTGAAACGAATTAAAACATAATAAAACGCGCCAAACAAAAACCCTATATTTGCGCCGCAACGCAGCAGCTCCGCGCACCAACCAACCTCAATAATCCAATTGAGGTTGTGGTCACCAGGAAAAAACATCGACTTCCTCTTTTCATCTATGCAGCAACAACAACATTGTATGCTTGGTCAGGCACTTCACCAACACCCCCACTAAGTCAACAATAAAGCCAGGGAAGCGGGCATTTGTTTTGCCCAACCAGTTCATATCCTGTTGTAGCCGCTTGTAACGTTCACCCGTCCGTTCGTTCCAACACGTTTCACGTCGCCATGACGGAACAACAAGCGTTTACAAAAATGTGGCCAATGTCCATAATGGTGACATTGGCGGTGTTGGCATTGTGTGTGAAAAATATATCCTGCGATTATGAAAATACATGGAATTTTTACAACGAACAGCCATGTTGCGGCGGCAGTGACAATGCGAACTATGCCACCAAACATAGACGAGGTAATTATTTCGAATTTAGAATTAAAATAAAAATAAACAGAACAATTACAATCATGTTTACAAATATTAGCATTTCATACGCTTATGTATGTGTGAATGTGTGGGTCGTTTATGGAGGGGGTTTGACGATAAATCGGATTTGCTATATTCGAACATAAAAAGGGGATTATGACAGTAGACCTAATAATAGTATCGGTGGGTTTAAGATTTTAGGAGCGTTATTGGACCTGCAAATCTTTCAAACCTTGTGTACATAGGAATAAGTTGAATCGACTACTTTCTTCATACTTTTTATATGAAGATTTTTTTTATATTATATATTTTTTATAAGTGAGCTACCATATATTGCGGACCCAAGTATTCAAAATCAAACACTAATTTCCAATTTTATGGATGCTTATGCATTTCGCTTTATTTGAGTTTTTTTTTTTTTAATTTTCAACCCTATGTGGGGGAGGTACCAGAATAAATGGTCCGATCTCTACCACCTTAATAACAGATATTGTGTAGATGAAAATATTGAGACTTGATACAGTCTGAATGAAATCGAATGTTAATTCCGCGTTTTATGAACTTCATGGATATTCAAAATTTTGACCCTTTTGTGGGACAGGTGCCAGAAGGAGTGGACCGTTATATTCCATCTTAAAAGCAGATCTTGTGTTAGTAGAAATAATTGGATGTGTGAAATATGAAGAGAACCGGATGATTATTCCGGATTTTTTAATCGTTATGGTTATTTAAAACTTTGACTCTTTGTGAGGGAGTTATTGAAACGAATATTCCGATCTACACCATCTTTATAACAGATCTTATGTAGATGGAAATATTAAGATGTGCCAAATCTGAATGGAATCGGATGTTAATTTCGCGTTTTTGAGTTTCATGGATATTCAACATTTTGACCTTTTGTGGGGGGGGGGAGGAACCAGATGAGTTGGATCGATATATTTCATCATCATACCAGATTTTGTGCTGGAAAAATGTATGACGATGTGGAAAACTTGAAGACAATCGGACTCTTATTTCATATTTTATAGAAGTTTTAATTATTCTAAATTGTTATCCTTTGTAGGGGAGGTACCAGAAGAGTAGGCATCCCATCTCCATACTAAATCTTGGTTTGATGGAAATATTGGGATGTGTCACGTTTGAAAATAATCGGGTGTTCATTTCACATTTTATACGACGGTCATAAAATTGTAAACTGAACACCTGATTATTTTCAAACGTGGCAATTCACAATATTGGCCCGTTGAGGGGCAAGTTCTGGAAGAATTAGTCCGATTTTGATACCAGCTCTTGTGTTGTAAAATAATTGCGATGTGTAATATTTGAAGACCATGAGACTCTTTCGTACTTTATATAAGAGACGATTATTCAAAATTTTGACCCTTTGTGGGGGAGCTACCTGTAGCAGTGAACCGATATATCCCATCTTTCCACTACAGCTTTTATTGATGTGCGAAATTTAAATACAATCGGATTCCCATATCACATTTTATAAGAATTATAAATATTCCAGATGTTGACCTTTTGTGTGGGTAGATACTTGATGGACTGACTCGATATTGTATATTTTCACACCTGACCTAGCCCTGACAAAAATATTGCGATTCGCAAAGTTTACAAAATCGAATGATCCTTTTTCTTTCTATGACGTAAATTATTTTTGTTGAAAATGTTGACCTTTTGTTGGGGAGGTACCAGAAGAAGTGTATCGGTCCATTCCTTCTGGGACCTCCGAACTCGATCTAAGCTTGACAGTAATATTACGATGTACCAAGTTTGGATCAAATCGGATACTCCCTTCGAGAGTTATCGTGCGCACCAGCTAGACAGACAGACGACGGACGGACAACCCGATTGCAAATGTTCTGTAACGAATATGGTCCAAAGAGACCTAGGGTCTAAAATCCCTTTTGTAACTCGTTTGAGCGTTTAAATGTTCAACCAACATAATCATCTTCTTGTTTTTAGTAATGAAACCCCAAACAATATATATCAAGTAATGAAGCCCAAGACGATATAATACAAGGATTTCAAGGAAACTGTATCAGAAAATTTAAAATCGGTACAGATATAACTATAGCATGTTTCTTTCGATTTGGTGTTTAAGTCGCTCACAATCGTAATATACACTCCACAACACTAATCTTTAGTACCCGATATCGGATTCAGCTCAGAAAATGTGTTTAAATTTTTGTCGAGATCGGTTCAGATTTGGATATAAATCCCAAATATATCTTTATCCGATTTCAGGCTAATATCAGTCCAAATTTACTAAATTTTGGCACTTCCGACGGGATTCAGTCACAAATTTCAGATTTTGCTTCAGATATAGCTAAAGCTTCCATATATATGTTTCATCCGATTTGGTGTTAAAGTCTAACAATGATATTTGATACCACACATCAGATACTGCTCGAAAATATCTCTTCCAAATTTTATCGACATCGTCTCAGATTTTTATATAGTTTCGATATAAATCTTTATCCGATTTTGGGGTGATTACTCACCGTATATGTAATATCCGGCCAACCAAAATTCAACCGAAATATACCATTCTGTAAAATCCAATAAATATTTTTTTACCCTCCACCATAGAATGGAGGGTATAATTAGTTTTTCATTTCCTCTGTAACACCTCGAAATATACATTTTAGACCCCAAAATATACATTTAGACCCCATTCTTGATCATCATAAAATTCTATGTCAATTTAGCGATGTCCGTCCATAGCCCCAATATAACGGTACCTCCGGATATATTTTGATTTTAGCGACATTATTCACCGGAATTCTTTCAAATTTGATATTTGATGTTCGTAGTGGATACTACAGTCTATGATAGAAAATTTTATGTGCAGATCCACGTCTTCGTATAGCCCCCATATATCGGTAACTTCCGATATTCGGTATTTTGATGATTTTGGCGACATTTTTCATCGGAATTGTTTCAAAATTGACAAGAAATTGTCTGTGCAGGTCCACGTCTTCGTATAGCCCCCATATAACGGTATCTCCCGATATTTTTGATGATTTTAGCTACATGATTCACCGATTTTTTTAAGTTTCGCATTCGTATATTGTAATGGCTTATGCCAAAATTTACCTATGCAGATCCATGTCGTCGTATAGAACATAATGTAACAGCTACATTCGGTATTTTTAAAATTAGAACAGAATTTTTAACGGATTTTATTGTTTTTTAAATTGCCGAATTCGTTCCAAATGGTAGAGGGTATTCAAAGTTCGGCCCGGCCGAACTTACAGCTTTTTTACTTGTTTATATATTATCCTTATGGAAGTTATATCATGCACTACAAAGCAATGTTATTTGGATAATTGTTTGTACGATCTTTTTTGTTCCGGAAGCTCTAATAAATATAGTTTTGTAGGGTATTATATAGTCGGCCCGGCCGACTTTGGACCTTTCCTTACTTGTTATTTTATTTTATTTATTTTTTTTTTTTTTTTTGATATTGCAATTGCATTTGACCACCGTGCGCAATGTTAGAAATTCATTCATTTTATTAATTTTTTTCTTTTCTTCTCTCCTTACAGGTAAGAATACGGTTCAATGTTAAGCACATGGAAGTAAGTAGAATTATTATGAAAACCACAATGCATCACAATTGAGGTCAATGTCTTAATAAAACTTAAATGTGGCAAAATATCATTTTCTCGCTTTAAACATGCATTGTCCATTAATAATAAAAAAAATCGTTAAGGTCAGTATTACGAAACATTTAAAACTGTAATCACTTTGATCGAATTTCCGCATGAAAGGCGATATGCTGGCTGTGGCAGCGTTTTTCCTCATCTACAATAACAATGCAATTATTTTTAAGCTCGTTTTATTCATTTTCTGCATGGCTCTGGAGTAAAATGTCACCGCCAATTAACCAATGAAAACAATGGACATTTGCAAATTGATTGACAATTTTCGCCGAGTGAAGTAAAGTAAGGCAAAATTGCCAGTCAGCCAGCCAGCAAGCAAGCAAGCCTGGTGGCCTGTCTGTATGAATCTGGACGACATCTGACAGCCCGCCAGCCAGTCAGGTTGGCGACATGCGATAAAGAAGGCTATACGTATTTTTTTTAAATATTGAATAACTTTAATTAATTGATTATTATTGGTCATGTTTTATATTGGTGTTGTCATATTTTTCATGCCATGGCATACGCGTACATTCCGATATTCATACATACATTGATGATTGATATAACTACGTATGTATGCAGGCATATATACGGCATATATTTTACAACTCCTTTGTTTGACTCAGAATTCGGTGAAATATTATATGCCGATATATTCATATATGTACGCTGGACATGGCCTGGTATATTAAAGTAAGCTTTTTTATTTATTTATCATCATGAGCAGCATTTTAATATTATAACGGGAGTTTTCTCCATTTTGTCCTTTCGAGAATTTTTCGTCGTAAATAAATAGTATTCATTTCAGTGATACTTTTATCGATTATTTTTGCTTTGTTATACTGTTTGGCGAATTACCTGTATGCGTAAGGTAATTCACCATGCATAACTAGCATGGCATTTTTTCCGGGTCAAAATAGTATATGTGACTAGCATATACATGGGCTGCTGTGGTATATACATTGAGCCCTATAATTACACTGTGCGACAAAAAATGTTTTCTACAAAATTATAGAAGGTCTTCTATAGGCAATGGGAGACCTCGAGAGCTTCTATGGACCATGGAAAACCTCAAGGTCTTATATAAACAATGGAAGAGCTCAAAGGCTTCTATAGACCATGGAACCCTTAAGGTTTCTAAAGACAATAGAAGACCTCAAGTTCTTGTATAGACACTAAAGGACCTCAAGATCAATAGAAGACCTCAATAGAAGACCTCAAGGTTTTTTAAAGGCATTAGAATACCTCAAGGTCTTCTACAGACAATAGAAGACCTAAGAGCTCTATAGACAATAGAAGACGTCAATGTCTTCTATAGACAATCGAAGACCTCAA